AGTCACGGCCATTGCTTGGCCAATGTGCTCTCTGTGAAAGCCTGAGAGAGTGTCTTCTCCCCATGTGACTCTCCTTAGGCACACTCTACGTCATTGATCACTTTCCTTTTTGGCCCCATAATCTTCTTGATCAGAAAATTTGGGACACTACCGAGGTACATGACGTTACAGTACAAGTTCTCATATTCTCCTCACAATAGGATCTTCTGGGCAGAAAGGACAAAAAGGAGAACAAGGACAAAGAGGTGAAAAAGGTAACTGAACTTTCTATTCCTTTTAATGTATGCTTTGGAGTCAATTAACTATTGGAAAATTATGGATGTGTTGGTGGGGAGAGAGCTTGGTTCTCAAGGATATTCTTCACCTTGAGGAAAAGCTGGCAGACTCTTCTCTTGGAAAAGCCTGTCCAGGATAGGTACGTAGGCACAGGGAGCAGCACACCTCCCTCCCTCCTTCTTTCCCTTTCTCTTTTCCTTCCTTCCTCCCCTCTTTCCTTCCTGCTCCCTGCTTCCCCCTCTTCCATCGCTTCCTCCCTTCATCTCTTTCCATACTTTCCTTACTTCCATTTACTTAACTCTCCTTTTCCCTCCACAACAGATGACTAAATATGATCTGGACCATGTCAGCCCTGCCCCCGTGTGTGCTGAGCCAGCCACTGAGACCAGGCATGGTGGTGCACGCCTGTAATCCCAGCACAGGGAGGCTGCAAACAGGAGGCTCACTATGAGTCCTAGCTTCATAGTGAGACCCTGTACCAAATACATGTTTTTAAAAATGTAGTCTAGAGGACTGGCAGGCCCAAGCATGTGCAGGGGTGGAGGGTGCCAGGTTGTGTCGGGGCCAAAAAGTAGGGTTCCTTCCTCCAGGCTCTGGTGACAAACATGCAGGAGGACTCTGTAGATCCAGAACAGGGGGAGCTGCATTAACAGAGGCCCTTGGGTGTCAGCATCTTCCCCATCTGTCTTTTTTCACCCAGGCTCTTACGCCTCATCCGTCAGAATTATTGGCAGTAGCAGTAGAGGCCGGGCTGAAGTTTTCTATGATGACATCTGGGGGACGATTTGTGACGATGACTGGGATAACTCTGATGCCACTGTCTTCTGCCGCATGCTGGGCTACAGCAGGGGAAGAGCACTAGGCTCTTACGGAGGTGGTAAGTGCATCGTCCCCTAGACATGTACGCAGAAGGTGCTGGAGCGGTATCTTGACACCTGTGGTTGTCAGTGACTCAGTGTGGTTTGGGTTAAAAGTGTTGATTCACACCTGAAAAGTGCTGCAGTTCAGGGCTCTGGACTCCACCTCCTTCTCACTTGACCACCCCAACAGAGATGTCCTCTTATGCCAGTGAAGGCGTTGTGGGGCCACAGCTGGGCTGGCCTGCCCAGTGCTTGTCCAATCCTGCATTTAGAATTCCACTTGGATGTCTTTCTGTATGGAAGGAGGGAACAGAGGGCAGGTGACTCACTGTAGCTGTCTCCAGCCCGAAGTCTGGACTGACCCAGTCTTGGCTATGATCATCTTTAAGAACACAGGGGAAGGCTGGGGTTGTAGCTTGGTGGCAGAGCTTTGCTAGCATGCATGAGGCCCTGGGTTCCATATTCAAGACAGCCAAGAGGGGGCAGGGCTGGAAGAGAACACAAAACAAACTGGAGCAGGCAAGACCAGTCTGAGGAACATGACCTGGGGTTGCCAGCAGTCAGCTCAGTTTATGTCTTTTTTTCCCCAACCAAAGTTCAAACCTTCAGCAAAGAACTTAACTCCCACCTGGGCCTTCTCTTGGCCAGATCTGACCCCCCACATGCACACTAGACCATTTTCCACTGTATCTACCCCAAATGCACTCTGCCCTTACCCATCTTAGTGCAAACTTTCTTTTAAATTTGGAGCCAGTTGGACTAAAATTCTAAGCACACATTTTCTTTGTATATTTAAGCACGTATAAAGTCACATGCTAGTGTAAATGAATAACCAAATAACCTAACTTATTTCAATTGTATGAGAAAAAAAAAAGGATTTGACAAAGATGCAAATACCTTAAAAGGCATTTAAGAAAAGGATACAGCAATGAACTAGCAAGGAAGAAAGGAGACTGGAGCCCTTCTAGGCCAAGAGTTCAGTATATGTACATTGAGCATTAAAATAGCTCTTCTCGTGGGTGGCACCAGAGTCCTTCTCTTGGGTGACACTAGAGTCCTCAGACACCAAAGGATCCCTTAGCATTGTCAGTCTGCCCCAGGTGGAAGCTGCTTTGCTTTGACCTTAACCTGAATCTGTTCTCTCCCTTGCTTCCTCCATCTCAAGGCACTGGGAAGATCTGGCTGGATGATGTTGCTTGCGAGGGGACAGAGTCTTCCCTATGGAGCTGCAGAAAGAGAACCTGGGGCTCTCACAACTGCAACCACAGTGAGGATGCAGGCGTGGAGTGCAGCTGATCTTGAAGCCCTGAAGTCACACTCTGTCCCCCAAGTGGCCTTGGGCTCACACACAATAGGAAGGAAAGGATGCTGTGAGGGTTCCCTGGAACTGGCTGAGCAGGCACTGGAGAAGGTCATTAATAAAAATCAAAGTGCTGCCAGCCAGCATCACTGGCTAGAGCTGAACGTCACTGAGCAGGCAGCTCCCACCCTGTATCCATGTCCCCACTCAGTGGTGTACCAGTTCACTGAATTCTCCCATGCCCATGCTCTCAGGGACAGCCTCCGCCTGTGGGCCAGGGGAGCAGTGCGGGCAGAGGGCCTGATGGGGAAATGGGAAGGTCACCTGTGACCACAGTTAGCTGTGAGCTTCCCTTCAGTCACTTGGCATCTCTTGAAGTAAGGGCTGGCAGCAAATGACAAGGGTGGCTTCAGGTGGCACCAGGTTGCAGGATAGATTGAATTACCCCTCTCAGCCTGGAGATGAGTTCTCAGTAGGGTGCAAGGCCCATAACTAATTCCTTGGGCTTTTGCCTGCTGTGCGTACCCCAGGAATGTCTCAGGAATGTTTATGGAATAAATGATGGAGTTAAGCCAAGTAGGTAAGCTATGCAGTCCGTCTGAGTGACCTAGGGCCTCTCTGCTATGTCCATGTTCTCCCATGATCCCCCATCCGCACTGTTCGCTCTGGGATAGTTTGGGGGAAGGGACTCCCACAGTGTCACTGTTCCCTTTCGACTTCACTTCAAATGGCAGAGCCAAGGTCAGGGCCTAGGAAGGGCTGAGGGTGGAGCGACAGGTATTTCTGGCCATTGCTGTGCACCCCAGGCACAAGGTAAGAGCGTGAGCCTCAGCGGATCACCTCAGGGCTCTAGAGATCCAGCCACACAGGACACAAATGTACTTCAGAAGTTGAAGCTACAAGACCCCAGCACCTCAGCCAGATTGCGGGGAGGAGGGGTACTTTAGCCCTCCAGCTGCTGGAGTTGGAGGGGACTGGAAAGCCGCTACCTTAGTTTGACTAAAGGCTGTACAATCGTGTTCCTTTTCTGGGCACGTGAATGGGAAAATGATAGATCAGAGAGGAAGGAAGTGATTTTGAGCCATACTGAGGATTCCTGGGTTCATCACATTTTTCCAAATACGTACTTCATACATCTTGTCAGCACCCACTGTCTCTCAACACTGTTATCTGTTCTAAGAGGCTTCTGCCCAAGGGAAGGAAAGGGCGGGCACTGCCTGAAACAATGTGAGCTCCGCCTTTCCACTCTCAGCGCTGACTTCCTGAGCCTCTTTGAGAAGATAGAGTCAGGAAAACAGACTTGGAAAAAGAAAAGTTTCTGAGGTTTTTCATTTATCATCTCAGTCGCCAAGCGTGGTGTGGCTTAACTGACGCTGGCTCTGATGAAGGGAGGTCCATCAAGCATCCGAGAAGAACTTGTGCGGCTGACAGAGGGAAGCAAGGAGGCACCTGGAGAGGGAGGGGTCTCCCCGCTGTTTTAGGTCCAGATCCCCCAGGCTCATTTCCTTCTCCAAGAATGAGAGATGGTGCCTGGTACCAGCTCCTCCTGGGTTAACAAACCACTTTCTCATCCCAAGGGATGCTGACATGTCCCTAGGCCTGGACAAGAATGCCAAACCCTGAATCCCTAACTACTGCACGCTCTAGAGCTCGTTCTTGATGACATCTCGCTATTGAATGAGTGGGGCAGGACCTACACTGAGCTCTACCAAGCCTGGGCTCAGTGTTTTTATAGGTTCTTCTTTGTTGCTCCGTGTGTGTGTGTGTGTGTGTGTGTGTGTGTGTGTGTGTGTTACTGGAAACTGAACCCCAGGTCATCTAACTGCACTGTACCCCCAGCTACTTTTACTCTTTATTGTGAGATAGGGTCTTCCTAAGTTTGCCCAGACTTGGCCTGAATTTGAGATGTTTCTGCCTCAGCTTTCGAGAGTTCTGAGATTACAGGGGTACATCCCCCAGGTTGTCCTTAAGAAAGCACCAGTTCATATCAGGTACTTGCTAAGGGCATTCACGGGGACTTGCTGTCAACACTTGGAGATCTTAGGGTAGGGAAGAAGCCAAATAACCAAACAATTACTAATGAATGTGACAAATGCAGGGGAGATGATACAATGGGAACATGTAAGGGATTTGGTCACTACAACAGGGAAGGTCAGGGGCTAAGCAGATGACGAGAGGAGGGAAAGGTCCTAGTCAGAAGAATTGCATGGGTAAAGGTGCTGTGGCAGGGAGAAGAGGGTAGGTAATAAAGGACTAACAAAACTTGCAGGGGTTGAAGTCAAAATTTGAGGTGAGTACAGCAGGAAACCAGGCCAGTTTCCTAAATAAACTAAGTCCATGCATTGAAGAACCTCCACAACACATAGAAATTTTTTGTTTGTTTATTTTAATCCCCAGAGAGAAAAGTAAAACATCCACTGCACTATTTCTAATGGGAAGAGGGGAGGATAACATGCTAAGTGAAGCCATGACCACAATTCTTCTAGAACACTTCTACTACCTACTCTTCTACAAGATCTGCCTCTCTCTCTCTCTCTCTCTCTCTCTCTCTCTCTCTCTCTCTCTCACACACACACACACACACACACACACACACACACACACACACACACCACTGTTCATTGCACAGGAGCAAACAGTCCAGAAAGTCTCTGCACAAAAGGAACTGTCTTTCCTGCTGTGGCCACCCGACTCCCAGACAAGGCTGTGGCCAGGCCACACCCTGTGCTTCCTGCTCGCGGCTTTGGACTCTGTCCTTGAGCCACCAGCTATCCTTGGAGTGCAGGCCTCTCTCCTGAGCCCTCTCATATGTACCCAGCTCCCTGCCAGCTGCCGCCACCTGAGTTCCACCAGGCTTGCCCTGCCGCCTGCCCCTCTTGTTCTCCATCCCTGCAAATGACTTCCTTCATTCAGTGCTCTGGATAGAAAACAAGTGTCAGACCTCATGCCTTCTCCACCTTGGCTTTCATCCCACCAGGCACCCAGCCCCACCAATTCTGCCTCTGCGTGCTGTCCAGTCCATCCAGTTCTCCCCGCCTCTGCTGCCACGAGGGCCCAGGGCCACCCCAATGGGCAGGATGCTTGGAACTATCTCCCTCCTCCGGGCTCCACCAACTGTCCACCCTCCAGGTCACTTTGCATCCAACCTTAATGACAGTTGCACCCAATGCTTTCCCCAACCCCCACTCCCTCAGGCAGTGGAACAAGCTCACAAGGAAGTTCTCCCACAAACCCACCTCTGGGGAGCCTCCGGTCAGCAGAAATGTGGCATTTCCTATTACATCCAGCCTGTTGACTGTGCCTTTCTCTTATGCAATGTCACACACACTGGAGGCTCTTGAGAAATGTTTTCGGATGGGCTCCCTGAATAAGTGAAAGACTGAGTAGGCAAAGGAAGGAGTGAATAAACACAACGCTTGGCTTCTCTGTCCTGGATTGCCTCAGAGACTTCATCAGCCAGGAAGAGATCTTACATTTATGGGAATTAGCTGTCGCCATACATAACTTTCCAGATTGTAGGGATGGCTTTCTCAAGAGGCAAATTGAACCCCGTGCCTTTCATATTTTATAAATTTAGTTTTCCTAGCACTATCATGGAAGCACAAGTTTTGCTACATCTATTTCCCTGATGCCTTAACGTCCCTACGACAGGCTGTGAGCTTTCCACCCGGGAGTCCGGGTGCACAAGCTGATAACATTGGCCAAAGAAAGTGACAGAGGGCTGTGAAGAGTTTCAAGACTTGGTTCCCAGGGTCTAGCAAGGCTCAAAGGCCACCTCTAAAGCCACAGCCCATCAGACAGCCCACAGCCAACCACAGCAGCAATCACAGCTGGTCAAAACAAACGCTCATCACATCTCACTACACAATCAACCCAGAATCTTTTTTTTTTTTTTTTTTATTACAGGATCTCACTACACAGATTGGACTCATAGTGATCCTACTGTTTTCTGCCTCCCAAGTGCTGGGATTGCAGGCGGACACCACCACACCCAGTCTCAATCACTGCCTCAGTGCACCCCAGGGGCAGGGTTAACCCGCTGAGCTGTCTGGCTAGACCAACTCAGAAACTCTTAAGAAACCACTCCTAGGTATCAGTGAAGGCCGTAGGCCTGACAGCAGCTGGTTGCACAGTGATAATCAACTGATACAATTAGCAACCTTTTACCCAAGGACACACAACGGGTAAAAGGCCGAGCTGGGATCCAAACTCAGGTTTGTCTTGCATCAATGAGATTAAAAGCATGGAGAAGGGTTGCCACAGGTCACTTCTGCAGGGCAGTGCTTCTGAGAAGCTCCCATCCTGCATGGCAGGAAGGAAATCTCTCTCTCCGATGGACAGGGGCCCCCCAGCAGCTCAGCATCAGCCTTTGGTGCAGGGCTGACTGTGGTGCTGAAGAGGAACTGAGGACAGTCAGCACTGTGAGACCAAGCGCACAGAGCAGGGCCTGGCTCGGTGTGGCATTACGTAGGAGAAGTGCTTGGCTGTCCCCTTGAGTCCCTCCCACTTCCAGCTCCTTGGGACACTGTACTGGCTGAGAGCTGCCAGACAGACGGCTGTGCTGACAGACTGGCTGGACCTTCAAAGGAGACAGGAGAACCCTCCAAGCCTCGTCTCTGCAGCCCTCCTGCCCTCCACAGCCATGTCCCAGCCCCTGCCATGGAGGAGAGGCTGAGAATCAGCATTCTAGAGCCAGAGCACCTGGGTTGGAATCCCAATCCCAATTCCAATCCCACCCAGCTGGAATCAACAGCTCTGTCACCTGGACAGCGACATCACTGGGTCTCTCTGGGACCTGGATTCCTCATTGTAAAGTACTATAACAATACTTCCTTCACTCTGTGCTTAAGAGGACTACTTGAAATGATAAGTAGAAAGCACTGTTTAAAATGGTGCCCAGCACATGGCAAGCACTGGTGTTTCTTTAATGTTGTCCTTTGAGACTCCACGCCACCCACCCTGACCCCCCCAAGTTGCCCTTCTCAGCCTCGGTGCCCAATAGACAAGTGTTTTCATGCCCACCTGTCTGTGCCAGGTGAAGAGGTCCAAGGGCCTAGGATGGGGTGGGAGCAGGTCTGATGGGAAGCCGTCAGAGATCAGGAGTGTGGGGAGGGGGTGTTGAGGTAACAGGTTGAAAGGTGAAGGGTAAAAGGTGG